TGTGTATATATGTGTAAAGACGTATTTATGTATATGTATATATGTGTAAAGACGTATTTATGTATATGTATATATGTGTAAAGACGTATTTATGTATATGTATATATGTATCGTTTAGTAGCATTTCTGACTGACGAGCTAATTACGTTTCCCGTTAAAACGCAAAAAAAGCGTTTCCGTTCAAAGTTTATCCTCAATATAGTCCTATGGGTTTACAAATAGGTGCATTTTTGAGGCGGCCTAACTGTCACGAATTGTCCTATTTTTCACTTTGTGTCAGTTGTGAATAGTTTCAAATCGCCCTTTCATTTAAAACTTTTTACGTTGGTTTTAGAGTTTTAGGGTTTAGGGTTTATAAAGTTTATCGCATATAGGCAAAACGTATTGAGCTTAGCTGACGAGTGTGTTGAATTGATCCGAATGTGTACTCATACATGTAACAACGTCAGATCTCCAAGTCACGTTCCGTATGGCCTGCATGCAGAATTCACCTCCCCGACTCCTGGCACATACATAACACACACACACACACTCACTCACACACACGAACATATATCTCAGTAGCTGGGGATGATTGCAGAGTATACTTGTGAAGGTCAGGGCCTTATAACTATACAGGCTATGCCTAAGCTATCTATATACCAATAGTGTTCACTTAGTTACTACTACTGTACCCGCACAGTTTATTGTGGCCAGTAAACTTCCATCCGGACTGTTGGTGCCCTGTGCGTGCACTAGTACTATCTGTACCATCACACTACCCATACCACACCCCTAAACTCTGAAACTCTAGACCCTAAACTCTGAAACACTATACCCTAAACTCTGAGACTCTATTCCCTAAACTCTGAAACTATACCCTAAACTCTGAAACTCTATTGCCCTGAAACCTGATATCCCCCACCCTGGCAATTCATTCTAGATATCTACCTTCCATCGCTCTGCGTACACTAGTACTATATGTACCATCACACTTCCCACCCCACACCCCTAAACCCTAAACCCTCATATCCCCCACCCCTGCAGTTCATTCTAGACATCAACCTTCCATCCGGACTGCTGGTGCAGTACTGGGTCGACACTCCACGGGAGAGAGGTCTTCTTATCAATGCGGAGCAAGCCAAGTTCCATATGACCATGTCAGCGGCACCTAGGAAAGGCGACTTCTCACCCGGGGCCAAGATACCGGTAGGTGTAAATAGATACGGTAGCCCCAAGGGTACGCTTTTATGCCCCTCTATGCAGAGAGGTTGCGCGTTCAATTGGGCTGTTTTAGGGATCTGCATTGTATGTCAAGATCCCGAGTCACGAATGTGAATACCCGTATGCATAAAGCTCGGAACTATGACAAAGATATGTATTATATATATATATATCTATTTCTATTTTTATTTCTATTTTTATTTCTATTTCTATTTTTATTTCTATTTTTATTTTTATTTCTATTTCTATTTCTATTTCTATTTCTATTTCTATCTATTTCTGTTTCTATTTCTATTTCTAAATAATAGATACAGAGTCGCCCAAATTTGGATATGCTCTCTCTGTCACTCGTATTAGAACGCAAATTTGTTAACTATATTTTGACGCAAGACTATCGTAGACGCTCTCATAACTTATTTTTTATTTTTATTTTCATTTATTTCATTTTTATTTAATTTTAATATTATTATTGATATATATATATATATATATACTCATGTTTGTGTATAGTAAACATCTCTTCTCATACACACTCATGAACAATTCTTAATCATCCGTACAAATCATCCCAATAACTAGGAGGACGGAGGCAGACGTCGAGGAGGGATGTCGTGGACTATGGAGAGCATGCTGTTGAAGATCAATGCGTGTGTAATCAAAGTTAATCCAGTAGAAGGCGGCAACGACCCATTGCCAGATGAGACTGATCCAATGGGCTTCTCTCACTTGCTTACATCTGAGGTAAAGCACGTATTTGTATATATTATACGAGTACATGCCTGTATATATTTAAATATATATATATATATATATATATATATATATATATATATAATATATATATATATATATATATATATATATATATATATATATATATATATATATATATATATATATATATATATATATATATATATATATATATATATATATATATATATATATATATATATATATATATATATATATATATATATATATATATAT